CGTATTCGAGGCGAGAATAGATCGGAAATGACTTTTCTCGCACCCTCGTTGAGATGTATACAGCGTTCTCAAACACATTCGAATCATTTATTTCCAACTTCTCTTCCAACTCCCTCTCTTGCTCGGATAAATCAATATTCTAAATTCCAAAGTTAAGTCTCGTGCCGTTTTCTACTTGGCGCCTCGGAATTAAAGTACTTGTCATGCGACGATTGATCGAAACGCGAGACACGTAAGAGTAATGGAAGGCACGCGCGTTCGGTAGCGGTCACATTTCCGTCGTAGAAACGTTAATTTCGCACCGGTTAATTTCGGTGACGTACGCACGCGAAATAGAAACGAGATTGAACGTTACGTTGCGAAAATATCGAATGTGTGTTCTGCTGCTTGGAAAAAGCTCGAGCGGAGATGCACATTAACGACTTTTTTTTTTTTTTTTATCTTGGAAAAAACACAATTTACATACGAAAAAATGATAAACAATTTGAAAACAATTTGAAAAAAAACGCAAAGTGCACGGTAATGCAAAGTTGTATCGAGACTGAGGCGGAAGAGAAGAGCTACGTAAGTGCGTACCGGAAAAAGCCGTTTTTGATCTAATGACGTTCTAAGACGAGTATATTAATTTGGGCCTTCGTGCGAAGGAAGAGTCGGTCGCATCACACACACACACACACACACACACGAGTCGCGCGTAAGTGAGATCGTGTAGATTCACGAGACGGAAGTGAAGTTACCAGTTTCCTCGAGCGAGACACGTAACTCCGGGAAAGATATGGAAAAACCTCGTTCTCCCGGTCATTCTGGTTTTTCGCTCACATACAGGGGTTTGCGATAGCGCCGCGGGCGGCGGACTGATATGGACGATTGTGCCGGTAATGACAAACAGGAAGTAAAGGCGGTCACGAGGCGTTCGCGAGAAATGAGCGCGCGCGAACACCCTCGATGACGGCGAAAGATTCGCTTCGAAGTATCTGCAGGTCGTCTCAAACGAGTCGTGCGCGACGGGTGCTGTACGTGCAACGTGTTTCTACAGGTCACAGAGAAGATGAATAAAAGGCGACACAAACGATGTAACGAGGTTGGCGATGTCTTGGCAACTCAAAAAAAAAAAAAAAAAAAAAAAAAAAAAAAAAAAAAAAAAAAAAAAAAAAAAAAAACGACGGCAAATGAATCGGCGCGCGTAGCGAGCCAGCAAGTGCCGGACAATTTGTATGTGGGCCACGAGAAAGTCATAAAGCGCGTCTCTTTGCCTTCGGGATATATTCGTCTCTTTTACACTTTCACGACCGAAAGGATTGCGGCGCTGCATTTTCGGATTTTAATTCATTTTCACATAAGCAATAATGTCAATATATCGAAAGCGAGAGGCGCCAAAGACATCTCTCTCGGAGATATGTGTGAAACTTTTTTTTTTTCTCTCTCATTCAATGTGCGTTCGAACGGTCTCTCTTGAAAAAAAGAAAAAACTAAAAATATCCACGACTGCGTCGAGGTCTTGTTGTCGTTGAAAGAGACACCGCGTGTACGCAAAGTGTTTCGCTGAACATCAGGTATCGTAAATCAGACGTTACGGCATTCCAGCCGGCGCCGATGCGCGACTTGGCATGACGTCGATAATTCGCAGCTGTTTCGATTAAAGCTTCTGCGGAATCAGGAAGCCTTGGCAAACCCTTGCGCACACGCATCTGTATGCGTGCGTGTAAAAACGACGCAACAGATTTCCCATTTGGATTACAAAACGTACGTTGTACGAAGAAAGAAATAGTAGCTCGTGAGATCGTTCGCGTTTTGCGAGACGGAGATAAAAACTTCAATCTCTATCTCTGTCTCTGTCTCTTTCTTTCTCTCTCTCTCTCTCTTTCTCTCTCTGCATCGTCTGTATCTCGAGTTTGCATTACGTTTGCATTTCTTTACGTCAGAAATATAAGCATTTATATCATGTGCATTAATATACTTGTAATATACGCAATTATATAAAATTTCCCGAGCTTTTTATATTTGAGTTACATTTAATATTTTTTAGTTACCGCGATCGCGTTCTTTCTAATTTTAATAAACCAGTAACCAATTCGCGCGATCGCCGTCAGAGAAAATGTACGATAGGATTTTCTAGGACACACATCATCTCATCATCAGTTCGTTTTACATACATTCCATTTTACTATAGATGTACGCTTGTGACCGCAGAGATACCTCTTATTTTCGATTTCTCCATGAGAATGAACAATTTAATGAGCCGCTTGGAATCTGCACATTTCGAAGACACATTTGTGGTAATCGTCTTTCTCTCTCTCTCTCTCTCTCTGCAGATTATATCATCTCATTATCATAAATGAGAAATTTATGCAATCTAGTTTTTTAAAAATAGATTTGGAGAGAGAAAGAGAGAGACATACAAGTTTAAAAAACTACTCCTCGAATGTGAGAATGATAAAAGATCCAGAGAACATTTATTTTAGCTCGCAAATGTATTTTTTTCGCGAACGTAATATAAAGCTGTGTAACTGTTTTTTTAAATACTTATTTCTTATCGCTACGAGCGTTGTTGCTCAACGATGTCTCGTGTATTTGTTTGCCAAAACGTGTTGTGTTTTCTAACGGGCGAAGAGAGCCAAAAGAATGCACTTTGCGCTTCTTTGATGCAGACGAAGCGGATTTCATGCGACGGTGATGAAACGAGGCACAGCAGGCAAGGCCAAGGTAAAGGTAAAAGGTAAAGGAAGAGGCACATGGGGGAATGCAGAACAGAGAGAACTGGAAGAGAAACCGCGCGCGCGCGGGCGAGTCGCGTAAAAGTCAACGAACCGAAATCAACCGTGTGCGTGATAACGCGCACAATCCACCGCGACAGTTTTCGCGAATAATTTTTTATAAATTATCATAGTCGCGTATTTTCTACGGATAAACATTTTGAATCAAAAATATACACATCGGTGTGTTAGACACTTTTTCTTCAAAATTTTTCGAAAGAGAAGATAAATCCGCTCTCTCATTATTGCGCGTTTTGGCGCGCTTGTATTATTTACATACATATGTTTCATTGCATAAATAAATAATTAATAGAAAAAAAACATTCTTACACAAGTACATAATCTAGAAATCTCAAGTTCTTCATTATGTACAATTTTCAGACTATAAAAAAATACAAATAGTCATCCATCATCATTTTTTGCTCGCAAGTATAAAAAAGCAATTTATATAAACTATAATAAATTTGAGAAGCGGCGATCGGATTTATTACTTAAGCAGTCTTGTCGTAAATCTCAAAAACTCCAAAAAAAAAAAAAAAAAGATACAGACGATCGATGAGTCATTGCATTTATATAATATACACACACACACATACACATCATAAATAGGCAGAAATTTTGCTGAGCTTATATGCTTATAGTTTATCACATGCAGAGGCAAACGACCGGCGGCGAGTCTTCGTCCCGCAAATAAACAGAGTTAACGGTTGATTGCCTCGGTGCGAGATGCACGCAAAATCAGTTTTAAGTTTCACTTTGCGCGCATCTCTACTGTGAGCGCAACTGCGGCCGTCGCTTGTACGCGTGTTTCACCTTCTGAAAATATTGTTGCAAGTCACTATTGTGACGTGCCCCTCTCTCCTTCCTACATGAATATTAAATGCGTTCGTGGCATCGTAATGGTAGGATACAATATATATCCAAGGTACATTATGAAAAATTACACACGCATAACATTTGCAAAGATGACTCGTTGAATTCCCTTGCAGAAAATGATTTCACACTCTCGTCCGTGATATTTTTTTTTTTTTTTTTTTTTTTTGCGGAACAAAACGCCTTCGCACGCGCTTGATCTCGCTCTCTAATAAACGCGCGGTGACAGGTCTTTTCCGTCTGGGTGTGTGTATTCACATGAATAACGCATCGCGTTTGACGAAGAGTAGAACAATGAAACGATTCCACGGAAATCGGAATCGCCGTGAGTTTCGTCTACAACAACGAACTTTAAAGAGAAAAGAGCAAGGCGAAAAGTCACGAAATGAGATCTCGACCAACTTTGCTCTCGCGAAAAAAATGTGACGCGCGCTCATCACGATGCGCTCGGATCACGTGTCCGGACTGTCAACCGGGGGTTCCCCGCTGTAATATATTGCTTGTAATCCGCACGAATAGAATTTGCATAAAAAATACACCTTCGCGGCGCGTTTCTTGTTGCCGGCGGTTTGCAAGCTACATCGCCGAGTGAAAGCTCGGAATGGTGTTCTGAATGTAAAGTTGTTGGTGTAAATACAATAAGCACATTGATCACTTTCTGCCCTTTACCGTAAAAAAAAAAAATACAACAATGTCATACACCGTGTCACACACGCTTCGTTCGATTTCGATAATGCGCGTTGCCGCGTACGGTTTTGTTGTTGAACCCGAAGAAAACCGATCGCTCAAGTTTACATTTTCGAAAGTGACCGTGTAACAAGATATTGAAAGCAATCTCGAGAAATTCAATCGCGTGTTAATAACAAACGTTATAGACGTTTTGTTTGTGTCTTCATTCACAGATCCTGCAAAGTGCAGGGTAGTTTTCTTTCAACGTAAAGACGCTGAAAGAACTACTTTTGATTTTGTCCCCGATACATGTGTATCGCGCGATTTCAGTACGGAGAAATCGTATCACTTACAGCGTGCGCGTGTGTTTCTCCGCGTGTATAAGTTAGTATTTCCACGAACCCGCAGCACCTGTACGACGCAGCACATGCGAGAGAAATACCATATCTGAGCGGATCGTTTGCTCCGACGCTTTGGAAATCGCCGCAACATATTTTCGCGGGTGAAACTATACCGAAAGACTATACACGCGTGCGTGTTTCCTCAATGAACTTTCTCGCGATGATTATTGTTCGTTTACAGCTTTTGATAATTATATAGTGACGTTATTAGACGTTTTTGCTCTGCTTTATTATCTATTTTCTCTATGCTCTCTGTAAGTTACACAATTCAATTGTACACACTTACGAGAACAGATTCACTCACCTGACTCTGGCCGACTCGATAGGACGCTGGGTCGATATCGACGGTGAGCAGCATGTCCTCGACAGCGCGACGTTCGTCGGTCACGGGACTTCCGGGACGAGCGTTTACGTCGCTCGACAGCAATCTGAATCGACGTCTGAATTCACCTAAGGCCATGTGCTTCGGGAATCCAACTTTGTGTAAGCGAACAGCGTCTATTATTTGACTTCCGCGAATCTGTGAACGCAAGAAAAAAGAAGAAAAATTTTATCTTTCAACGGTTACTATTTTCTTTACTGTGTTTTTGTTAAAACAATCGAAATTAGAAAATAATATTTCATGCAAAGTTTTTGAGGCTTCTTTTGAATATGATTTGCGTTTACCTGTGATCGCAGAAGAGGCACATTAATGACACTGTCTTCGCTTTGATTTGACTTGACCGAGAGGAGACTCTTATTGTCGGTGCAACCAGCGTTGTGTTGAGGCAAGAGGCAGTGCACAAATTTCACGCGAGTTCTTCGCAGTGTTTCAACGAGACCGTCCTGGAAACAATTAACGTCTGTGTTTTATTCTCGATAATAAAAAATTTCATTGCGTAGCGAGATAAGTGAAGAATCACGACATTGTTCTTACGAGGCAAAAAATGAGAACAAGAAAGCACAAAAACGCGATGTGGCACCAAATTAACGTAACGCATGTATCATCGGACATTTTCAAGCTTGGCAAATAATTCACATCTTGTAAGATGAAGGCCGATATACCAACTAACTTGAATATAATGAACGAATGTGCTCGGTTTTGTGATAAAGCCTTCATGTGTAATTTACGATAATAGTCTGATCTTTGACACCGACGACCTAAGATGTTTTGTTGAAGTACATTAATCACAGATGTCGAACGCGCGTTTTCAATACGAAGATTTCGATACGTTTTCGATACGAAGATTTTTAATTAAATGTCTATATGCTTGATATATTGGGAATAATGATATTTTCTAACAAACAAGAAAAACTAGAAACCTAAAACAAATTGTACTTTAAATTATTTTTAAGAAAAAATGATATTGATATTTACCACAGTAAATTTCACTTGTAGACAAACATTCTTCCTTTTAACAGCTGTGAATGTTCTTCGAATACTGGAAGCACGTCTTAGAGATTGCGAGCCCTCGAGCCCCAGCATGGAACTGCAAAGAGCACCGGAAACTCCAGCACCTCGAGCACTTACGAACAGCATGCTCATATGTTCCCTGAAAGTGTTTTGTTATCAAAATAAGTAGTAAATGCAAAATATAAAAAATCTATTTGTAGAGAATTCAGATAACCAATGCAAAAACCATTACCTTGTACTTTCTTGAAGTATCGTGATGGCATTCTTGGCAACAGGATTTTCGCGTGTGGCTTTAAGCCAACCAGTTGCAGTGTAAAGGACGGGATTTGTTCCCAGCAAGTGTTGCAGAACAAATTGATTATTACCTGGCGCTTTTCGCAGAAGCATTTGGTGATCTAAGACAGAAAAAAACCTATCGTTTATAAAAAAAAAAATAAATAAATAAGGCCAAAGTATAAAACGCCAAAAAGAGACAATGTTAATATTTATTTCAAAGTTACAAACACGTAATAATTTTACCTCGATCTCCATAATAAGAAAATAAGCGATCCAGGAAGGTCTCGTCGCTACCTCCAGGACACACAGTTTCCTCGTCCAATAGCCACAGTAATCCTTTTCGTTCCATTTGTCTACTACTGCTAAGATCGCTTTGACTAGTTCGCAACATCGTCGCGCTTTGCGAGCTTCCGCGATCCAAAAGAGAAACCAAACCTTGAGGCGAACCGATGCCATCTTCATCGTAATCATCCTCGTAATCTACATCAATGCCTTCTTGAACATACCTAACGAAGTTTTACAAGTTTTTAGAAGAGTTTTTAAATTACGTGTATGTGGAAAAACATGCAAAATTATTTTATATATAAAAACAATAAATAATATTGATACTTATATTACAATAAATGTAATACATAATATATGTAATAGATATAAGTGTATTTAAAAAAAAAATATTTAAAATATTTAAAAGAAAGTAAAATTAGAAATTACAGATTTCTTCCTGATAGTTTTCGTACCTATCTTTTGGGGCTACTAATGTAGTGTGATGAAACAGTAACTGCAAGCGTTCTTGTAGATAATTGTGACAAAGATCTTCAAAGGTAGCACCGGTTTGCCTGCCACAGGAGGCAGGATTTTGAAAACCTGGCGAATCACACAGCAGCAGAGATGAAACCGTATGTACAGCGGATGATATGGATCTAAAAAATAACAAATATATTATTAAAACTAACTATCAAATATTTTTATACAATTATTACTTACTGTTAATTTTAATTTATTTATTTCGAGAAGTAGTAATATAAAAAAGTAATAATACAAGAAAGCAGAATTATGAGAAATATATTTTACGTGTCTAACATAAAAAAAAAATTATTAATTTTCTAATCTTGTGTGTACAAGATTGCTAATTTATTTACTTGTTGATAAGAGCCGCGATGCAATGGAAGACCTCAGAATAGAGTCCAACCAGTAGTCCTTCCAACGCGTCAAGTCCCGTGACGTCCTTGCTCTGATCCGTAGGGCTGGGTGTTCTCAGAGCAGGTCTTGGAGTACTCGGTGTTCCAGCACCACCTCCGTTTGAGGAGAATACCACTCTGCTTAGTTCCTCAACGCTGGTGCCCAGCAAGTTGGCGGCTTTTTCTGCGCATTCGACTCTTGCAAACTGCCACCTGCTTTGCGAACTGGTGCCAGCTTTCACCGCACCAGCACAGCTCAAGTGATAAATACCGGCCAGCACCAGCCAAATAACTTTTTCGTCGGCCTCGGAGATGCCGAGTATTCTAAACGCAGCGACGATACGATTAAATTCGACCATGGCTCGCTGCTTGTCTTCATGCTTCTGCAGAGGCGTGATAAAAGGATTGTTTTCAGCGACTAGATTCGTGAGGTGTAACTCTTTCCTCAGTGCACCCTCCGCACCCGCCAACAGACGGTAAACGGCATGAAACGTTGGATCCCCGTTTGCTCGTCGACCTATTCTCGATTTTTCCAAAAGTAGCACCTTACGAGAAACACCTACCATTTAGTTTGCGAGATATATGAAGAGTATGAATAATACGAGACAAAAAAGTGTTTTTCTCACTTGCAGAGAGGCCGATGCAATTTGACCCGACTGGTCAAAGTCAAGGCTGAAGAGCTGCGTGAAACGTGTCGCATTCGAGTTCATGTGCGTTCTACTGTTTCCGAACGCTTCGAGAACCGTAAAAAGCGCGTTCAGCTTTTCAATTGTCAGTATCTATAAAAGCACGTGTATTGTTTTATGACGAGGTTCATGTGTGGTAAGTGTCTTCTCGTGGTATTAATACTTCGTAGTATTAATACTCGCCTTGTTAACTGTGCCAGCGGCCAGCACGAGATAATGAAGAGCGTGTTTGAAGTTCGTAGTTTTCCCCGCTCCGCTTCGCCCGAGGAAAACCAGAGAATGGTCTCTGCGCGTTGCCAGCATTCCTCTATAAGCCGACTGCGCTATGGCGTATATATGCGGCGGCATATCCTCGCTCTTGCAACCTCGAAACATGTGCGCAACCTGAAGAGAGACAAAAGCGGAATTTTAAAACATTTTTAAGATACTCTTCGTAAAAAAAACTCTGCGTCTAACCGTTCTTTACGACAAGTAAATTAATAATGGATGAAGTTCTTCGTAAAATTCTGTACAATAATAAACATCAAGATTTTTTATTCTTTAATTTGCGATAAAAATTGATACGTTCAAAAACAACATCGCGATATAAAATTTGCATTTAAAAAAACTTTCAAAATTGGCCTTGCCTTTTCGGAATAAATCGCTAACGGTGCAACTGGATTGATAACGATCATGCTGTCTCCTGCATATGTATGTATCAAATTGCTGGCGTAACGTTGTCTTAATGTATGAAGAACAGACGATTCATTCAGAAACCGTAGCTGAGAGAGTTCCTCGGCTTTATCGAATTGAGGTGGATTGGCCTTAACACAGATAAACAAACAACAATTAATAAAATATACATACACACACACACAGTGTTTAAAACTGATTACACAAAAAAGATAGCATATAACATTCAGAATTTCTTTTGAAAAAATCTACGCTACCTTCTCGACGTCCTCCTCGTCCACAAGCAATTCCTCTCCGGAAGTGGTCAATCGAATTCTTAACTTTCCTGTGTCGGGATCGGCGGAACCGCATCTTGTGGCGGGAGTAAAGCCTCCGCGATGCAACAACCAGATCTTTTCGGAAGTTAACCATGCCTGTTCCTGCGCCAAATGTTCTTCTGACCGCGCCTGATGATAATAATGATAACAATACTAATAACAAAAATAATAATAGAAAAATAAAAGAAACGATTTAATTTTCATCCATTTACTTATAATCTCATTCTCGTTCAAAACATTTCAATTCAAGAAGCAATTTCTCAATACATAAATATTGTAATTTCTCAATACATGTTACCGCAAAGTAATTATTCTTATATTTCAATTCTCGTTTATAAATATCTTATTCAAGAAAAACGCTCGACCAGTCACACTGAATGAGAATCGCATTTATCCGAGTATTTTCGCATTTGTTCAGAGTCACGCGCGCGAGAGCTCCTCGTCTTTTTTCTGTGAAGCAATCGAGCATGTTGTCTCATTGAACGTTTCTCCCCGCCGGCAGTAATGTGTGCCATACACGGGAACCAATTTTTTGCTAAGAAGATTAAGAAGATTAGTTAAGAAAAATTTGCTAAGCTTATTGAATTTTTTTTTTTTTTCACGAACGAGACAGATAGATTGCCGATGAGACAAAGACTTCAGCAGGAAAATTTTTATTGCCCCGGTCATACGTAATAGCAAAACTTTTTTTTTCCGTGTAGGCACGACCCGACGAGGACAGAGCGATCGAGCGCGCGCACACACACCTACACACGATATGAACGTTGAATCGGCGTAAGATCTTCGCGTAATCTCGCTACTGGCAACGATCGTGGTTGTGAAACGTCCCTGTTGCGTGGCTACACGTTACGACTGAGGACGAACGGACTTGCGTATATTATTAAGCAGTTACTCATTAACATCCAAATGGCATTCGCGCGATCCTTTCTATTTTCATCATTCTCCGTCCCTCTTCGAGATGGAATGGCTATTATCCTCTCGAAGGCGAGGATAGGAAATAAGATTCGTCGCGGATTTGTATAAGTTCCTCAGTTCGTCGTTACCTTACAACGAGCGAAGCTCACGTTGGAATAGGATGTGTAAGTAATCGAATTAGAGATTCGATTCAAATGAACGTAGTTATCGGACAGAAGCGGTACCCCCCTTGTCTTTGAAGCTGTAATTTTCGTTGTTGGATTATTGAGACATTGGGGGTTGACGATTTCACGTAAAAGACTCAAATGTGTTTACGTATGTTATTTTCGTTGTCTTGCAAGTATGAAGTATCGTAAGTTACATAATCATGTTTCTACCGTCTATTATGTATGTACATGAGTAAACGAGAGCTAAATATATTCCGCGACTCTCGTCTCTTTGAAACTCGTCGTGAATCACTACTCGTCGTATATCGACGCAGCTGCGAGAGAGTTCTCGTTTAAACTTCGCGATTTCTGCATCAGAAACAACAACCGCACTACGAGCTGACTCGCATCCGTAGTCACACCAGATAAAGACGACGGGAACACACACCAAGTGTTTCCCGGTACATAAATTACCATGTATCAGATCCCGGAGGCTACCGAGCGCGCTATTGTTTCGCGAAACACAGGCGACAATCGACACAACGCTCCTTTAAAGACCTAAATGAGAGGAAATACCGTTCGAATATTACGCACGAATTTGCCCTTTAAACGCGTCTAGCGAACTCTCACGCGATAACAATTTGCTAGAAATTCCTGGAATTTTCTTCTTCAAGTGGCTAAAGCACATACACACAACGTAGGTGCATATTATGTTGAAGATCAGGTTGTGAGATTACGAAAACATCTTTCTTCGCGCGTTATGTAAAAATCATCGAGTATAAAAGCACGCCATTAAAAAAATAATATATTAGATTATTTAATATTCTCGATGCGTTGCCGAAAAATCATAATAAAAATCAAAAAATTGGTTTTTTTCTTTTTTCTATTGCTCGAATCGCGATGACGAATTCAGCAACTTAGATAAAGAACCTTCTGATCCGCTCCGAAGTTGTTCCAAAACGTACCTTGTCGATTCGTGGCGATACTTTGCTTTCCAAGAGAACCTCGAGGCGCTTCATGCATTCGTCTTCATCCTTCACGCGACCACTTTTCACACTGCTCGTTACATTCGACTCGTCCGCTTTTCCTTTTCCTCTGGTTTTTCGTCTTATCTTTCTAGACAACGCCATCTCGAACAACTTTTCCCATTCGATGATATCCTGAATCGGTTTCGCGCATCTTTGGTAAACTTGTCGATTTCGCTTCGACATCTTCTTCGAATTGCCGTTCCAGTTGGTCTTCAATCCGAACACCGTTCGAAGACCATTGTTCGCGCTCGGGATTCTCTGTTCTATTTCCGCTGTGATCCTGTGCCATTTGCGTTCTCTCGGTCTTTTGATGGCACTGCTGTCCCAGCCTTCCTCCATTTTTTTGATTTTATCATTCACGCATCCCACACGCAGACTGTCCGCCCAATTCTTTTTCTTCAGACTTTTCACGGGTCGCGTCACGTGGTGATTGAATCTCTCGTGTGATTCTTTGATCCTTTCGTTGTCATCGAATTTAGGGGTCGACGTTCGATCGGTACCGCGACTGATCGATCGATTTTCCGGACAACCGTTCTGACCGATCTCGGCCGAGTGCATGCTATCGCTGTCGCTGCACTCCCACGAGCTCGTGCTATTTCTGCTGTGCTTCCTGTTAATCTTGACAACGCCGTTGCTCGTAACGCAGAATCCGTCGTTTTGCTTCGCGGAATCCGGTGATTTAACGGACTTCTGCGTGGATAAGCTTCGACGATTGGTTTGTTTGGCTATTCCGCTTGCATGCGCCTTACCTCTGCAGGATCTATGTAGGATGTGATGCGCACCGAGCGACATGGCGTCAATTTCGTCCCTGTTGCGCGGCATCTCTGATATTAAACTGCAGCTGTTTCGGAGAAGCGAATTTCACGTTGTCACTTTCCCACCGCAATTGGCACTAATCTCGTCGGCTCCTGTCTTTCGGCCGGTTCTCTTCAAGTTTGCGTCGAGAAATTCTCGAGTATAGAATTCCTTCTTGCTTTCGTCGAAAGATCCCCCCGATGTATTTTCATCAGCGCGTTTCTTATAGCGCAATAACATCAGCTTGTTGATTTCACATTAATTAGCCGTATTATTTGCGAATTCTTTCTTCCATCTGAACATTTTTTTTTTCTCAAAATTACGAGAATCGACGAGAAACAATCGCTCGACTTACACTCGCAGTTTTCTGATCAGATGACGAATCTTCGTCTCAGGCCAATTGTTGGGCCATCAAACTCGAGATCGCGAAATATGTTAACTTGCAAAAACCGCACATGTCATCAGTCACACGTTCTCAGTTTTCGATTTTCTCGAGGTTTCTTCTCGAGCGGTTTGACGACGAGCGACTCGCATCAGCGACGACCGGGACGCGACTTCTTCCGCGAGTTCCTCTCATGACTTAAGAGCGGCAATCACGAGGACAGGACTCGATCACGTGGAGCATCGCGGCTCTCCCGTCGACTGAAGCAACGCTGCCGCTCCGAGACAGAGACAAGTCTCACGTCGTGAGGAGAGCCGAGAGGAGAACGAGAGAGGCGTGTGCCCACGAGAACCGCCCTGAAGTTCTTTCTCTCCATCACGAAACATAATTCTCCCGCTCGCTCTCCACGCGTCCTTGTTTTACGCAACTACTTGCTCTCTCTCTCTCTCTCTCTTTTTCTCTCTCTCTTTTTCTCTGTCCTCCCGTCATACGCTCGTTTGGTCACTTTGACGACGTCCTTCCTCCGCGATTTATTCAACACGGTGAACAGTCGGCCAGTAGGCCGAACCGTGTCCGTGGCGATCACTAATCGGGGTGTGGTTCGCGAAAATTCGAACGTCTGCTGATATTAAGCTATTTTACTCGACGTATCGATTTATTAATATTTGTCGTTTAACAAATCAACTTAATAATCCGTTGATAGTTTTCTTGTTGTCCACGAAACGTTTCGACTAAAAGTAAAAAACCAAATTTTGAATCTCACAAACAATGAAATCGTCTAGCAAAGAAAAGACACAATTGTTTCGAACGCATCACATTTAAATTTAAATTTATCACACGAGGCTGTTGCTACAATTTTAATACGCGCTTATTCAAGGAGCTAATATAAATCAGATTTGAATGCATCTACTATCTGACGTTAAACGATTCGCAACTTTCCTCTTAAAAGATCGCGGTGTGCGATCTACAGAAACGCAACCGTAAATATAACCAAGTACATTTCTGAGAAATATTAGAGTCAATCATTTGCTTGCTCGAATGTACGTGTCATTTACCGTGCGAAACTCCGAAGAAAGCTTTCGAAGCTTTCGGACGGGAAATGGAGGAAAAGGAGTAACATAGTATAACGTTTATATATAGGCTTCCCCAGAAGTGAGTTCTATATATGTAATAGGCTGGGAGAGAGAACGCGTAATTCAAGTGTAAAGATCAATTCTCACTCTTCGGAACATGATGATATCGTCTAAAGCTCTACGTGTAATAAATTAACATCCTTTAGCATAATTTAACATATTCTCTCAAAAAGAATTTTTTTTTTAACACAACATCCATCTACATTCTGTTTTAATCCTTTGCCTGCAGACAGCGGGTCTCCCACTCAAAAATTTCTCATCGACGTTCCTAGAAAAATTTAGTTTTTTTTTTAAAACGCTTGTATCTTCAAAACTACTAGAGATTTTTTCAACTTGGTTTTTTTTTTTTTATTGATCGACGTAGAATTGTTCGAACTTTTGACTTAAAGAAACAAAAGTGAAAAAAAAATACTGATTTTTCGCGGCGATATTCGATTTTAAAATTACGTGGGTCTCACAGACCCAATCTCGTAGGGTCATTTTTGAAGTCTGCGAGCAAAGAGTTAAATATTTCACGCGTTCCGAGATTATCAAAGAAATATTATCTCTAGAATTACTACAATTTTCACGTCTTCAAATTTTGTTACTCCACACGGACGCGCCGTGACGAGATCGATCCTCCGAATTTGAAGAGAACATTCGCAAGTCGGTCACGTGCGAGACGACAACTTCAGCGCTCGCAACCGCACGTGCTAAGCTAACAAGAGAAACGCATTCGAGAGAAGATTCGAGAGAGCGAGAGAGTGCACCGAGCTGCTATTTTAAGAAACTCGTAACACGCGAGATCGCGTCCAACCAAAGCAAGTTTCCCGACAGCCGGGCATTGCCACGAACTCGCGTTAATATAACGGCGAAGTAACGCCGCTAGTGCTTAGCCAACGTTTTGCGATTCGAATATTGCCGCGGATATTATAGCGGCAGCAAGAATTTCTCGATAATACGTTCTGAAATGCGGCAATATCCGACCGCGCGATATACACGACGTCGATTGATAAGATAAACCGACAAGGCCGCCCCTTTCCTCATGTGTGTTGTTGAATAAAACACGCGGAGTGGAACTCGAGAAATATGATGGAGAAACAATCCCATTCAGAAAACGAGAAAATATTTCGAGCCGATTGACGAGTCGAGAGAGAAAATTAATTTTTTAAACACGCTATTCTTCATAGGTTTCGAATTATGCCAGACTGATGACGCACCACAGTCATTGTTCGTCAATTGGCGCTCATTGAATGCGAAGAAACGTAGAACGATCGTGTGTGGGTGGATTGCGCTACACAACAATTTCTTCCTTACATTTTTGTTTCGGCGACGCGTGGGACGTTCGTTCGGAATCAACGAATTAGAAGTAGATAAAAGAAATTTACATACCTATAGTGTAACCCGCTCCCCTTCAACGGTCTTAAAAAAAGAACAATGAAATTCAGGCCAACTCTCGCAGAATCGAACCGACGTCGCTTGACGATTTTTCGCTTCGCGATTTCATTGGACGACGTAATGACGGGGATTAAAAAAAAAAAAAAAAAAAAGAAACTGAAGGATCGTCGATTACAGCCCGCCAATACGAGAATCGCTCAGGTATCTCCTGAGTATGTAAATGGAAAACCGATTGTTAATGCAACGCGTAGCGCTTCTGCATACAGTTAAAGAATTTTCTATGCGCAAGAGTGTCGCGTTTCTCACAGCGCGCAATATGTGAACAGGCGCCCCTCACGAAGGATATATATTGTTCCAAGCGGCGACTCGTGCTATGCGCTTTTTTTCGCTACGCGCCGTGGAACGGAACGAGATAGGTAAAACAGTTGGAATTAAAGGTGTAGGTCGAAACGGCCGGATCTCCCTCGAGCGCATAATACGCGCGACAAACAAGGCGAAGTGACTCGACGCGTCGTGTGTTGTGCGTCGTATTCAGCCGACAATCGGATTTCAATAAACCGTTACCCTCCTTCTGTTTGCAACGCAAGGAGGTCCAATTATTTTCCTGTTGCGCTCTCGCGAAGTTCGCTTTCCCTCGCCGAACAAAACCACCTCGGTCGCAATTTCGAATTACACGGACTTTTTATACAATATGAAATCAATAGAAGGCGCGGCGAGATAATATCTTCATATCGATGATATTTCGCTGAGAAACCGCATACATGCCGTTGCAAATGCTGGGGAAAATTTGGTTGGAAGGTCGTTCGAGGCCGCTCCGAGTGTCTTGCGAGAAGGAAGAAGAAATGGAGAACGCGCGTGTTTTTTCGCTCGCTCGTGCTGCGCGAGTTGCTAAATCGACCTTGCGCGTTATAACGATCGGCGTAGGCGTGGTTGCGAGCGGAGTTGTGGGTGGTGGATGTAGAAAAAAAAGAAAAAAAAAATTCGAAGAAAAGATTCTCGATAGGAAAGCAATTTTTCGCAATCCGCGAAAAACGAGTCCGGAAGAAAGAGAGGGACAAATAAACTCTCTCGGCAACCACATAAGTAAGGAGAGACTGCGGTGCGAGGATATTTCATAAAACCAAATAAGGACGGTGAGAGTTTCGCTCTGAAACGAATTCGAAGAAATACGCTCCGCTGACAGTTCCGCCGAGCGGAAAATCCAAATGCTGTTGATTCGTGAGAGAGAAAATAAAATAAAAAAGAATGACGTTTGACGATTCACGTTGACAAACAAGACCGGACTGACCGGTACGGAGAGGGGAACTCTGTTGCGGACGTGAGAGAGAGAGAGAGAGAGAGCCGTAATAAATCTATAACAGCGCGCGTACTCGGGAGTAGTGCAAGTGTAACGTACGCTTGCATGCGCGTGTCCAAGCCGCGCGTGCGGTTCTTGATCCGATTTGAGAAAGAAGTCCCCGAGCGACTCACGTATAGAATCCGTACATGTATTCGCTCGCCTCTAAATCCAACATCCTCTCGCGCGGCTTGTGACTGCTCCAGTTCTTAGCGCGACAACAATCGATTTCTGATAAGACTTTTAATCTGACAGCAGCTGTCAGATTAAAACTTATCTTCAAACTGTTCGATCTTTGGATTTTTTTTTCTTATCATCAAAGTTCAAACATATAACTACATGTGCGTTAGTATATGAGACAACACGTTCTAAGTACTTACATAAACTCTACACACGAGAAACATTATACAACTATAAGTTCGACTACTTGTAATCCCCTAAAGAACCTCGAGTTTCTCACTCGAAAAATCGTTGCACGACGTTCGCAGACAGGACGCGCCGATAAAAATCACGCGATAGCCAGTCGACGTGCTGCTTTTCCATAAGAGCAAAATGCTGATTGGCTATTGGGTTGTTTCTCGTAATAAGGCGTTGACGTGTTCTGTCTGAGTCTTAACGTGTGTGCCAACATCGCGGAGAGGATTAATTCTCCAGCGTAGCAAACGAGGGAGAAAACATCGGGAAGTGGCCGCGGAGGCGGTCACGGACGCCAGAGATCAGCTGGAACGTAATGCATGCGACACCGCCTCGTTGAGTTAGCGCCAGATTATGCGCATACACGCAATTCGCGATTCGTTGCGTTTGTTTTTCGAATCTCGCCGTCTCGCTTTTCGATGACTTCGGAATCCGTTTTACCAAAAAACTTGTAGGTCCACGAGAGAACAGAATAAAAATCAGCGAAGATAATGTATGACACAAAATATCTGTGAAAGAGATTAAAGATACGTAAATCACACACACACAGAAAAAATATGTTACCGTCGAAAAATATGTTACTTCAGTACTTCAAGTTGCTTTCATTCATCTTGGAAATAAAATTCCAAGTGACATTATAATATAAAATTGTATTTGTATGAGAGTGCAAAGTTTATGTATATATATATTATATACATATATGTTCCTACAAAATTAAATTAAAATTTGAAATATTCTGCTGCTTTGTGCCGCACCTTTCGCCGCTCTCCACACTGGCAGCACGTTCTCGCCGCATGCCTTTTACCACTGGCTTTACCGACAGTCAGTAAACATCATTGGTTCAATTAACGTTAATCTCAACACTGTCATACAAATTAAAACCTTTTTAAAGCCGTGGCACACACAAAAACTTGAGCAGTAAGACGTGAGCAGTAAGCAAATCAACCAATCACAGGAAAACATAAAGCTACATTCGAGAGAATGCCGGCCTGTGATTTGCTTAATGCTTACATGTGTCTTACTGCTTGTGTGCCTTTTACACTATACAATATTCATTGCAACAACATGCAATTCTTCCTTGTGCGCATATGCATATCGCAAAAAGTTTTCCACGTGCGCGCATATGCTAAGAAAATAGCAGAAAACCTGCATGTTGTCGCAATGAATATTGTATAGTGCAAAGGCCTTAATTGCCATTTACGACACGTACTTACTCGCGTCAATTTGCATAGTACGTACAAATTGCGCAGCGTGTAGCCACACTTGCTCTACATCGGTGTCGCATTCGTTTCATTTGCGAGAAAATTAAATTCTTCCACGTGCTGGTTAAACAGAGTTGCTGGTTAATAAAAGTGATGAAGTTAATAAATAAATTGTTTGCATTTTTTGCACAATTCTTAGATAACAAATATCTTTAAAAAAAAAAAAAACTTTCGCCAAAAGTTAATTACAACGGAGACAACTTTCGAATTGTTTGCAAACTTGCAATACGCCTACAGTTAGGATTAAAGCTTGAACTTCAACGGAAACAAGATATTATGGTACGAAGCAGTCACAGTGAAGGTACCGTTATGTGATTGCTATGCCACTGCGCCACTCTTGGGAATATGATGGTGGAAAGCGAGCGTCTCTTTCTTTCTGTTATTGTCTTTTCTCCTTTCTTATCAGACGGCACGTAATTATTGTACCCTTTGTGTCACACCCTCATATTTCTCTTAGAACCCCCTTCACTAAATCCCACTTTGCTCTTCTCCTGACATTTCTTCTTTATATTTTTATATGAATAATTACAAGCGTAGTAACAATTGAGATAATAAAAATGGAAGCGATACAGAAATCAGTAAATGATTTCTGTATTACGCATCTCAGCGAATAATTTTGCATCAACTGCTTAAAATTAAAACCCGAACTGTCAAATTTTTCTATTTCACATACACACACAAAATATTTTTTGGCAAAAAAAACTTGACTCGCAGCATTTAAGCTTTAAAAGTTGATAGAAAGTAGCGATAGGCTTACTGTATTTTGATGAAACCGCAAACTACCGGATCGGCGAAGCGTGCCGCTTCGAATATTCGCAGGTGCCAATTCGACGTGACGCCCGTCACAACCACCGCGCCTCGATAATTCTGACAGCTCGGCAACCGGTTGCACCTGCAACAAAAACCAATACGTTAATATATTGTAATATCCATACATCACGCGAACACGAGCGAGCATCACGGCAAAATTCATTTTTGTTAGTGAACGCGAAATCGTACGATCATTCGCACGCGATGCGTGCAAAGCAATTACCTAAGAGAAAACCATGAAATGAATTTATAAATTCTCTGTAAATACAATTTGTTTTTTTTCGACATTTTTCTCGCGAACTTTATAGAATTTCAGCAAATAAAAAAAATAAAGTTATTGATCGATCACATCGTGTAGTAAAACAATTCTCACATTTTTATTGAATTCTCAAGTAGATTTTTTTTTTATTTATTTATTATATTTTATATTTACTTATATTTACTCGTTTCGCTTGTAGAAGTAAATCTAGAATTTTGTAATTTTGTCTGATTAAGTGAGAACTTTCTGGTAATTTAAATACGGACATTCCAAAAATGTGACGTTATCTTCCCAGAAATCACTTATAATAGAAATGAGGCGTATAACGTAGTATGTATCCCTTCGTTCATTTAAGCCCCATTAATCACCGTTACAGACGGCTTCGTCTGTTATCGACGTGGCTACGTGCCCGATGCGCGCACTACGTCTATCGGGCGTGTATAACGGATACATGCATACGTACGTAGGTAGGTATAGTTGGGCGCGCGCGGCGCGGAGTAACATACAGAGAACAGGAAGCAGGATGTTGACCGAAAGAGGTCTGTGTTACCTATACACAACTATGTAATTCACGTCACGTTCTTTCAATGAGTGAGAGAGAAAGAGAAAGAAGAGAAGAGAAGAGAGAAGAGAAGAGGAGAGAAACGAACACCAGGGTTTTCCTACGTTTGCGTGTGCATTGAGACTCCCGATAAATTTACAGCACAGTCTTCGATATTACCTGCTTGCTACGATGGTCATTTAGCTCATAGAAGTTCCAGATGATGCAGGAAAATTATGAATCGATGCCGGGTATCGTCGTCACGCTCTGATACGCTGATACGATCATCTTGTTTGGCAAGAAATATTTTCTAGTTCGATACTTGTTGGATTCATAGGTGCTTTAAAAAGGGTATTCGGATAAAAATATATCTCGCGATTTCTAACTTGTTTCGAAGCTTTCTAACGAATAGCACGCAGAATTCTGATACACCCTGTATGCAGTAATAACACGCTCGGTTTGCGAGAGTGAATTACGTCCGGTTTCTCCCCTTTCGCGTTTCTCTGTCTCTCTGTCTCTCTCTCTCTCTCTCTCTCTCTCTCTCTCTCTCTCTCTCTCTCTCTCTCTCTCTCTCTCTCTTT